TATCAAATTGAATTTTTGTTCAATAAAAATCTTTCAAATGCGACTGTAGCTTTTTTTTCTTCTTATATTCCGAAAAATATGGTAATTTGGTCTCTATCCAAGAAAAGATACTGACTTACTGAAAAGTTTCGGAGAAAGGCTACTACTGTGATTCCAGGGATGAAAGAGTTATCTTGTATAGATAGGTTAAGATTTCAACATATTTTCTTTTCAGTAAAGAAGGGTAAGAGTTGATCTTATCAAACTTTACAAAATTATCTGAGGGATCAACAGGATAAGGCCTTATTTCTTTGTGCTATATCCTAAACACACTAGGATGAGGTAACATAAGTTTATGATTGGGAAAAGACAGATTAGGCTGGCTCTAGTTTAAGACAGTTATTTTTCTAACAAAGTGAAGGATTTTTGTAAAAAAATCCTTTTAACAGCAATAGAGGTCAGCACTTTATAGGAGTTCAAATTTTTACTTTTTCCAGGGTTTATATGCAAGAAGAGCCTTGAAAAACCAAATGGTCTCTTGATATATGTTAAGATTACTGATGCACACCACATCATCCACAAACAATGAGGAAGCTGGTTGACTTACTGTCTAAGAGTTTATAAAATGAAACTAACTGAGGACTCAGTGAAAGTAGTCACTGTAATATACAATTTGGCTTCAAATTAAAAAGGCACTATACTACTGGCCTACAAAAAGTTTAAAGAACAAAACAGAAAAGTGAAAGCAATGTTATTTGAGTTTAACTACAAAAAAAAAATTTTTGTTGTAAACTATATTTTCAATGCTTTAATTTCGTTGTTTACTAGGGGAAGCTAAAGTTAGAAATTTTATTAATGTAGTCCTAGAAAAAAGGAGACTACAAAATATCTAGAAACAAGGATACATTATAAGTACAAAAATCAATGAAGCACTGAGTCAGTTTTACATTTGTTCATTGCCTGAGATGTTAATGATGTACTTAGATCAGTGTCATTTGCGGGTATATCCAGTTACTCAATCAATTAGCCATGAAATTGTACAAATACTTAATTGTACTTTATTGTATATTAGTCATAGAAGAATTAGCAAGTAAATTTCATTTTAAAGTGAAAATTTTATTTGTGAACTAGGGCCTACAACTACATACAAGTGATAGCATAACAAACATTAGGGAAGAAATAAACTATTTTGTTATCATTACATGGACTGGACTTTGCATTATTTTCAACAAATAATTCCCCAATGAAAGAACACATAACAATATATGTTAATCATATTCTCCCAGGCTCATAACACAGGTAACCAATTATTGATGGTGAATAAAAAGGATAGAATAAGAATTTTTTTTATGTTATGTCAGTTTTGACTACATGCTGACTTAAGTGAATAGATTTTAAACCTAACTATAAATATAAAGAATATGATGTGAAGAATAGATTTTGTGCTTTGTTTAACAACAGCCACTTAATTATGTGATCTGATCTATAAATAATATTATAAATAATTCCATTTAGGGTGAATGTCTCGTTTCTCTTTACATACCATAGTTGACCCATCTTTCTATCATAACTATGGAAATGAACTTGAGATTAACATTTTCAGAACAAAATTTTTCTGAGAAACAAAATAAAAAAAAGCTGTAATAATAAGAAAATTGAAGAGAAGACCAACGATGAACATAAACTGATAAAGACTATGGAAACAAAAAATACAATGTTTCTCAATGTTCATTATCAAGCATGTATCTCAAAAGTCAACCCTAATGGTAGTACTATTTCAATAAGACATCACCATATTTATTCATTTTAAAACTAAATTACATTACAACATAAACACTAATAAAAATAAACACTGTAAACATTTACAAGTACTAAAACGTTAATGTAGAATGAGTTATATCTGATGAGAAATGATGGGTTTTCTTTTCTCACAGTCACGTGTTGAATGTTTTAGAAGGTGTGTTCATAAACTAAAATATTACTAATAGTAATACTACGAACTGATCAAGGTTTCTGTACACAATTACCTTCAATTTTCATGATCAGTGTCAATATAGGTGGTAGTATAAATATAACTTTAAGAAACTAGTCAAGAACATTAATTATACACTACATATATCTTTATCAATGTATCATTATAGACTAAAATAGAATAATTAGTTTACTACTTTTACGTCTTTAGTATTACTGCCATGCAAGTGTAGTTATACTAGTAGTACACTAGTGTCACACAAATCACTTTATTTGTACTCCAGCCTCTAACTCTAAGTGAGGCTGGTATTTAATTTATATAAAAAAAAAAATAGTTACAACACATTCTTAAATACTGATTGTGTTTTATTTTAAATTGTTTGTAACATTCAGCTCACTTTAGTCTTTAGACTTTAGGTTAAAGCCAGAGAAACTAAACTTCGATTTCGCTAGCCCTAACAATGTAACTTGTAAAATATTAACAAACACTAAATAGGCCTAACATAATTTTAACGTTTAACTTCAACTTTCAAGAAAATATATTACTCATATTATTACCGTCATCGTCGAGTTATAATATCATAACCTATAGTTTAAGCAAGTATGAACACAATTTAAGTATATGCTATATTAAATACTTCGAAAACATACACTTACATGATAAAATAATTATTAGACTTACCTGGTGTTAATTGTATTCCTTAATTATAATTTATATAGGATACTTTTCTACTTGAAGTGTCGAACTGCATTCCCTTTGGTTTGGGCTACCCAGCATTCTTAGCGCCAAACCGTATTTGAAATACGCTCGAGTTGTAAGTGGGTAATAATTCTGACGTTATAACTGTAAGGCGGAGCAAGGAAAAAAATCAGATTGTTTTCGGAGCAATCGACGACATCATAAAACTTTTTAATATAAATTGAACCGGTAAGACTTATGAATTCCTATGATACTTTTGTTTCGTTTTATTTTAATTTTTCTTATTTACTATTTCAATTTGCTTCAACCTTTCCTACTATGAAATATGAAAACTTGAGGGTGAAAAGTTAAATTACCGGTTTTAAGTTATTGTTGATTTCATTTAATTTCTCTATTTGTAAAATGTAAAACACATCTAAGAAATCAACAATGCTTCAAGTACGTTGAATTAATTACAAAATAGATCTGGTTACTAGCTGCAATCATCTTTTTTTTTTTATCTTTCCCCCTATCCATACACACCACAATTTCCTACATTTGGATACTTCTCCTGCTGAAGGGAGAGCGCAACCTTATGTTGGCCCACCAGTTACCATATTGGGACTGGAATAGAATATCTTGAAAAATGTTTTCTTGGTCTCCCTCAGCAGAGTCGAGTAAAAAATTATTTTGTTCAAAATTAGCAACCTTTAATGTATCAGTTAAAATTCAATTTCAGCATATTAATGGAGTAACATTGAAACTAATAAAGTAAATAATATTATGGTATTTTTCAGGTGAAACTAATTTCCCCAAGAATAAATAAGATAGGTCCTTTATGTAACAAGAGATTCTAATGTAATTTTAGGTAAACTGAATTTTTTCCAAAAGAGTAAACTAAGTAAGTCCACTATGTAACGGAATATTCGGTAAGATAAATTGTGAACTAATACTGAGTTCCGCTAAAACTAACTGAGTCTGTGCTTAGAAATAGATGGACTGGATAAAAAGTGCGGTACACAGTGATAAACAGTCTTTATTGTTACACAGTCGCCTTTACTGAAGTTGTGAATTGATCAGGTTGGCTCTACTCTCTCAATACTTACATTCAAACTGATTCACTCACTCGTGATTAGAATGATGTTCCAGACTGACTACACCTCACGATACTTAGAGGATTCGGTAAAGACAGACTTACACAGAACAACTAGTACTACCGACATGACTGGTCATTCCCATTCAAACTTAACGGAGGTCGCACACTCGAGATGGCCAGGTGGTTAGGGCGCTCAACTCGCAATCTGCGGGTCGCGGATTCGCATCCCTGTCCCACCAAACATGCTCGCCCTTTCAGCCGTGGGAGAGTTATAATGTAACGGTCGATCCCACGATTAGTTTTTCTGGTAACTGAGTAGCCCAAGAGTAGTCTTACACAGCTAAATTAGGGACGGCTAGCGCGTGTAGCTTTGCGCAAAATTCAAAACAAACAAACAAACCTCGAGATACCATTGGAGGATACTGCTGTTGACCATCATGCACAAGATGCAGCTGTATATAGGCAAAGTAGGTGTTACCTACAAAGGATTAACAAAGAAAAATGCGATTAGAACGAAAGGCACTGTGTGATATGCGAGCATATCATGTGTTTTTCCACCATCTTTAGTAATATAAGAATTTTTAAAAAATCATTGGTCCATAAAAAATTGAAGCTGTTTCATTCAAGTTGCTTTTGTTCTCTATAACAAATAATATCTATTCTACCCAAGAAGATACTGTTAAGGTCGCACGCTAAAAGGGTCAATTATCCCAATGTCCTTTGATGACTGAGTGGATTGTGTCTGTATGGTGCAGCCGATGAACACTGTAAGAGATTGGCTAGAATTCTTTATTTTCTCTCTTAGTTCTACTTTATTTCCCACTTAATGTACAGATACATTAAGAAAAGAAAAGCTGAAGTTCTATTCACAGATCCAGTAGAGATGATTGTTTGTTTGTTTCGTTGCATGATAAAGATTGTTTTACACTTAACATCACACGTGTCTAGTCTGGTTATATATTTCTCACTGCTTAGAACTCAGTCGAATTTTCAAATTAAGATCACTTCACAGCTTTCATGTTCAATCTTCCTATTATCAGATTGACATATTTGATACTTGCGAGTGAATCAATGTACACGAGAATACTACATCTCATTTATTTCTTAGTTATGTGTTGTACAATTTTTTTAATTCCTTTATGAAATAAGAAGGTAGAAAATACTTGCATGCAACAATTTGATCAAAAAATGTTGCAAAATAATTTTGAATTTCTATTAAACTAACTGAGTTTTTACAAAGAAAGAGATTAGACACAAATGTAAACACACACAGTGAAAAAACAACAGTGTCTGTATGAACATAAAGGACAATTACCTTTACTGGAGAGAGAAAGAGATTCTATATAGGTTCTCTTTTGACCTGCACAAGTTGTAAATCTATAAATTATTTACAATCTGTGAATTATGTCACAGGCTGAGAAAGAATCACATTATATTCTTAAAACTACAACCTGGTACTTAGAGGGCAACCAGCGTTAACCACGGTGCTGGTCGTTTCTCTGGGAGTTTGAAACCTCGAAATATCACCTGACCTACTATTGAAGAAAACTGCTGTCTTCTTTCATATATTAAGTGCAACTTTAAAGCTATCTTCTCCACAGGCAGACCAAATGCTATTTCCGGTGAACAGCACAGAACGATAGATAGATACAACGAAAGTAACTTAATGACTTTATTGACCACAAGTTTATGTGAAAACCGCACATACCTAGAACAAACGAATTAAAAAAAACTAATGCAAGGAGTACCAAACACTATATACCATAATAACATAAAGCAATTCAAAATAAGTTTTAAATTTAAATCTATAGTTATTAAAATGCATTAAATTACCAATTAGATATCTTTACTATTATCAATATTTTTGGTTGTAAACCCAATAATAACACAAATTTCGGCCAACAAAAGAGACTAAGTTTAGTTAACAATGCAAAATAATAGTGTAAACTTAAAACTAAACAGTCAACATTGTTATAAATGTTATAACCAATAATATAATGCTTATAAACACAATCAGATATTTTTACTTGTTAAAATTAGTTACACATATGCAAAGATATTACAAGCACTATAACCAATAACACCAAAGACACTAATAATTTAATTAAAAGAGTATGCTATTAATTGCGTGTGATATCGTGTGATATTGGTTGTCTAATGCGTTGCAGTTCATCCTTTTTTGCACCAACAACAGAATAAAAAGTGTTATTCTTATAGCTGCTAAAGTTAGAGTGATGATATGGAGAACATTCTCATGGCAGGATTGGAGTTCTTTTATTCTTATTCAGAAATGTAAATAATATATAATCTGTGCTTAAATGTTGTTACAAACATTGTCCACACCACAATGCTGCGTTTCTGCATTGATGTGTTCATCAAAGCAAAAATGTAGAACCCATTCAAAACAATAATGTGACAACTCACCACGCTCATACTGTATAAAATTGATTCATAGACTTTGCTGGTGGTGTAACTTACTATTAAATGAGGGTCATAATAAAATGACCAATCAACATATAATGGTTGAGCTGATTTTCTAAAAGTATTGGTATAAAGGACTCAAAGGTGAAAATTCATCCTTGATTATACTTATGTCATTCTCAGGCGCATTGATTACCTTACAGATAGCAACTGTAACCAAAAAGAATGGCAGAAAATTTTATGCGAATTAAAGGGCCCGACATGGCCAGGTGGTTAGGGCACTCGACTCGCACTCTGTGGGT